TACATCAGAGACAAATTGAGTGAAAATACAGAGATTAGTTTCAATACTACGAGCCTTGACGAAGCCATGTTGAAAAATTGACAGCGAGGAACGGACATGATTATAAATCATGTATTTTGGAAAAAACTGATATTAATGTAATTGGCCTGTAATTTTCAACATTTGTTACCTTTCCAGATTTGAATACAATTTCCATATTTTAGGGAAATGGCGATTTTTCATAATGGAGTTATATATAATCTCTAGCGGCACCAAAAAGCTACTTATTAATGATTTAACTGTCTTTGCTGGAATTCCATCAGGACCACATGATAACTTATTTTTTAGTTTTTTAATAATTTGTTGACTGGGGAATGTTAAAGGACAATGAATCTGTTACCTGTATGAGTTGTTACTATTCTGGATTTGATAATTTTTCTTATATTTTTCATGCGCCCTAAATAAAATTAGTATTTCGTTTTTTGTACATTTTCAAATAGTGATTTTTTTTATTTTATCTGTCTAATTGAATCCGTACTATACCAAATTGGGTACGAATTTGATCTAGATTTTGCAAGCGGCGTACATTCAGAAATTATCTTTTGAACAAATATCATCGAAAGTTTCACACATAGAGTCTACATCGTTATGATTGGATAAAAGTTGAGATAGTCTAGAGTATAAAAGTATATAGTATAAAAGTACATATAGTATAAAAAATAGTATATAGTATAAAAGTATAGATAGTACATTTGTATATAGGGTTAGTCTTTATACAAAGATAGTATTAAATCCTTAGACAATGGTATATAGTAGGTATAGTCTATATACAAAGATACAAAGGTTATTCCTTGGTAAATAGACTTTTTTCTATACAAAGATTGTTTTATCATTGTTTAAATATTCTATCCACCAATTAGACTATTGCTATATCGTAAGATGGTTCCACAATTGTCTAAATGGTTCCATGATATTAAAATTGGGCCTTGTATCGTAGGCAGTAAAACTTTTTTAATGATTTTCTCCGTTGGCACGAATACGAATCCATTCTTTTGAATGGATATTACTTCGGATTTATATATCATTACTAACTCTGAGAGATCTATTTAAATGATGGTACCTAGTAGAAATTAAATAATATCTGAAATTTTCTTTTCTGGGGTCGAGGGGGCTCAAGTCAGGAACTGAGGGGCTCATCAAGGCTTGCATGGATGGTGTCTTCAAGACCTTCAAATCCGTTGATATTAGAGTAATTTGGTTTATGTCCTGTTTGTATAGAATGTTGCGCTAATGCACATGATTTCTTACTAAGCTTTATATCACTTTTATATGATATAAACATATAACTTTCTTTCGTCAGTTTATATGTTCAATTCATTGTCTTTCACTCATTTTTACTGTATGTATGATTTGTAATGTTATTCATTGGCAAAAAAATCCACAACTCAATAAATTATCTACGCCCTCAACCCCATTCTGTAGGTATAAATTTTCAGGTCATCGAGCATTCTGTACAACAACCTTTTTTTTGATACCCTAAAGATTTTCTTATATTATACCTAATAGTGTGTAGTTTTCAAGATTCGCAAACACCCTGCATCTATGAGATTTTCCTAAATTTTTCAGTTTTTTTTTAATTTGTCAATATCCAATGTTGTGATGCACTGTTTAGTAATGAATATTACTGCAGTTTAGTCCCAACACCAAACCGTTATTTTTACCATCTCGACACGTGTTTCAATCATCAAGTGATTTCGAAGATGAGGAAGGATTCCTTACTCAAACGCAACACGTGTTGCGTTTTTGTAAAACAATTTAGTGAAAATCTCACAATAAAGTGTTTTTGGAATACGTTCACAACTTTATCAACATTGTATATACATTTAATGACATCTACAACATATTTTTCAATAGTCTATAATTTTGTGGTTATGACACTATGTGTGAGTTTTCAAGTTCTCAAGCACCGAAATATTTTTGTCAGTGACATGTGACATGCACTTCCAGTTCATCGTAAATTAAAAAAATAGGTTTTGTTTTGGATTACATTTTTCAAACTACAGAATATCCTTAAGTTTGTTTTTTTTTCAAACATAGTTTTATTTTAAAATTATAACGATTAGGTATGTGGAATAACGTGAGGTTAAGTTGTTGAGGGGATGTTATTACCATGAAAGTATATATTTCTACCATTGGATTATGAAACATAAACGATTGATTCAACAAGAATATTCACAGAAATACTCATATAAACTTTTCTTTAAATAAAATTCGCCACGTAAATGGTATACGAGTAGGTATACGCCACTATCATCAAACCTGCACACTACTGGCTATGATCAATTTTTTGTCACGCCTGGGAAAAAGCATGTCTGAACATTGAACACCAATACCTAATACCGTATCTGATACTTCAACAAGGCCGGTTAAAATCGTCCACAATGACTAGCAAAATATTTGGCATAAAAAATTAAATGAAATCGTCAGACGTGTGTCGTGTCGGGTAGCATTATTATCAATTGTGTTCTACATAAATGATTCAGGTTACGCCTCTTTACTATAGGTTCATCAATCAGTCTCAGTTGGCCAAGTCATATCGAGTGAACTAATGATTACATGATTGATTGTAGTGGAAATAGATATTGAGTTTAGGAAACTACTAGTAATAGTAATTTTTTCCTTTGTTCATCGACAAACATTTCTGCTATGTTTGTGTGGCGTAGCTGTTACAAAATCGAAAACGAACTGAAAGGTGGGGAATGTATCCCTGAACTCTAGTGGGGGTACAGTTCAGTGTCGGATCTAGAGATGATGTGCTAGTAATTTTCAACACTTGAACCACAATGATTCTGATAGAAAAACTAATAATGATATCTTAAGAGCACGAGGGATCAATCAATGATCCTGTGTAAATAATTTATGTTCCTATGTGTTTTATATGAGTTATCAGGGTCACCATCGTTACAACAAATTACAATTTTCATGTCAGTGTTTCTAACTAAAATAGTGTTTTTCCCAAGATTTGCTATCGTATCGTCTGTCGATTTTTTTATTTAGATTTTTTTTCGTCATTAGTCCATAAACTATCTCGTAAAATACATAGATCATTGTTACTCGTTTTAAGTCATCCTATATAGATAATTCTTAGAAATATTAGTATGTGTATTCAATGTAGGTCAGAGAGTTCTAAATTTCAATGTGCTATGATTACCTTAAGAGAAGTTGTCAACATATGAACATGCACACTCTTTGCTGATGACACTCACTTGCTGAGGTGAAATAAAAAATATTTTGCATTGAGAGGTTACCATTCAAGATTGAATGAACTTGTTTAGCCTGAATTGAAACGAAATCATATTTATTATTTTGTCAAAGATGGGCGTTCAAGAACCGATACACTATTTCGCCCTTATGAAGATCACCTGTTGAAATCGTCTTAAAATGTACACAGTCTAGACGTTTGGCAGACACGAGACACCGACCTGTGTCCTGACAAATGGTCCAAGGAACAATGCACACAGAATGGGCGTCTGGCAGAGACGAGGCGCGGACCTTTGTCCCGTCCGCGTTTCCCCTATGTAAACAATTGGTCCAATGTTCACAGAAGTGAACGGGCAGTCGCCCTCCGGCCCTTGCTACGTCTCTTTGTCATATCTCGTGGCGTACAAGAAGAAACACGCCAGTGCCTCGCCACGTGTTTCTCCGTGTTGGCAAATATCCTTGTTTGTTTAATTATAATTGTGCTGGCAGAAAATTGCTGATACATTTGATGCTCAAGGTAAGTTGTAAGCAATTTACTACATTTTCGTACTGAGGTTTTGTAAAAACTCTGTAGACAACGATTGGTTTGGTTTGGTGTTTCTGATAATTCCATGTTAGTTATTCAACGAAAGTCATTTTTTGTGGAGGAAAAAAATCAGTTTTTTTACCCAAAAAAGGTGGATCCATGTTATTGTTGTTTGCTTTCAATATTATTCAAGTAAAGTTTCAAACGACCATTTAATTTTTCATTCAATTACCTTGTCCTCTGTACCATTTCGATATAAGAGTATATAGCTGTTAATCAATACATAATAGTGGCCAAAAGAGTTACTTATCTATGCACCCACTGAAAATGCAGAATGATGATAGAAATATGCATCTTGCATTTAGATAAGTGAATGATGTAAAATATAAGTTATTTCTTCTTCTGTGACATATAGTACCTAAACCATTTATTGATACTCAAATAAATGCGATTTGAGGAAGATCATGCAAAAATTGAATCGATGTCTTGTTCTGAAAGATCAATAACTTTATCGTTTTAAATGTAATGTAATTGTATCATGAAACTGAGTTATTTATTCGGACGTCAATTTCGTTCGGTGCGGTCCTGCGTTGTTGTTTTCTCGGAGAGGCCAATCAGCTGATTTCTGTCAGTGGTGTTATGACAATTTTGTTGTGTTGTGTAAATTATAAGTGAATGTATTTTTCGCGTAAACTGGCTTTCCTCTGTAAATATATTGATTAAAATATAATCAGGGGAAGTTAACATTTTAGAAAAACAATCGACCAGACCTCTGCAAGTTGCCACAGTACAGTTCGTTGCGAATTATTTCAAAATGACGTCAATCACTGGTCGGTAGAGAAATGACGCAGTTTTGTGTTGGAAAGGATTAAAATGCAAATTTTTCATTGAAAATCATGTAAGTATTGTTTTTTATTGTCTAGCCTTGTTAATGAACTTGCATCCGTAGAGGTTCGAGCTTGTCAAATTACTGGTTTTGCATAATGGTGTCCTTCAAAATCACCTAACCCACACCCTTTGTTGTTCGTTTGCTTTGTTTGATAACTTTCAGTGTTGATACTGTTGATATTCAAAATCAGCTGTTTTCAGCTGTGGATTGTTCTCGATTTTGAGTTGTCTCCCTGTTCCAACAACAGTCATCCATTTTTTCAAGAACAAAAAATTCGTAAAAAGTGTTGACCATGTCTTGGACTTGATAGGTTTTTTATATAATTTTTTGGTTTTTGGAGGAGTAGTTATTTTATGTTGGTTTAAGTGTAAAGTTCACTGCTTCTTCTCCAAAGATATTGAGATTTCAGGTCACTTTAATTGATTCGAAGGGTTAAAATGTCCACTGAGATAGATGAAGTGGGGCTTGACGTGGTGGAGGGAGATTGGGCATTAATGTAAATATTAAGAAGTAGAGTTTTTAATGTAATCACATCACTAATCGAAAAATTACATTCATGTTGCACAGTATGAAGATAAGTGTAGAATCGTTACAAACCATATCAAGTATTTTATTGCCAAGTAATATCCTATTAAATTTTGAAGGGACACTGACATCTAGACAGTTATTATTAGGATTCATAGAATTTTTATTAATGCAATAATTATAAATCATACTCGTAGCAGTTTCATTACAAAGATCATAATATCTAATTTTCTGTATACAAGAAATAAGTTATCAAAATCTCTCAATGAATTTCAAGGTAAATTCATGCACCAGCTGTAAGTCATAAAAGTTTAAAAATGTATTATGCACTGGTATATAGCACCATCAGATGCAACATTATAGTATGGGGAAGGTCCACAGAAACATCCAGAGTCTTTGGAATACAAAAAAGTTCATCAGAATGATATATGATTTAGATTACAGAGAATCGTGTAGGAACACCTTCACATATAACAATATTTTAACATTCACATCTATTTATTTGTATAAATTACTGACATATACTTTTTTAAATGAAGGAAAACTAAACAAAAACAGTGAGTACCACAGATACGACACGAGAAAGAAAAATGACTTTACTTACATCCCATACTCATATCACATCACAAAAAATCACCTCTGTATGCAGGGGCATATTTATTCAACTTATTGCCTGAAAGCATGAAATCGGAAACAAAAATAAAAACTTTTAAACATACACTGAAAAAATTCTCAATCCAAGGAGCATTTTATACTTTAGACGATTTTATTCAAAAGTGTGGCTGATTCATTTTCATCTATGTAGTATGCATTATATGTATTGTTTTTAATATGTATCCATCCAATATGTTTTTAACTTTTATGTGAAATTGACTATTGTTAATGTGTTTGTACTTGTTGTTTGTTTTTCATTTTTTTTGACATATCTCATGTTGTAAGAACAACCTAAAGAGACAAATATATTATCTATCTATCTATCTATTAAGTCACAAGTTTTAAGTAGAAGTAGAAGAAGTTAATTTTAGTCGACAATAATTTTATGACTAAAAACTTAGGACTTTTGTCGCATTTGAGTTCCATTGTAATTCAGTCATATGTGATAGAATTGGACGATATTTGAGTCGATCAGTCAATTGAAAAATAATTCACATCACTTTTTCACTAGTCATTTCCCATTTATTTGATGACCAATATTATAGAAACTTTACTACAATAAATATTTCTTATTTTGACTTGTACCTAGAAGAGGTTTTTACTGAGATGTGTTCATACTTCTAGTAAACCATTGATGATGATCTTCAATCAATCATTATCAAATATAGTTTATCCAGATGAATGGAAGAACAGTTGAATTTCACATACATAGGTTCACTAATGGTAACTACATTTTGACTAACTCACTAATCTATCGGAATGAAATTGTAATGTCTAGTTACAAAGTGTTCAGATGGTGCAACTCTAATTACTTGGTGAGTTTCGCAGTGTTCTTATTTTTGTCCTCTTCTATTTAATTTTACCTTCAGATAGTATGTATTGTTTAAGGATGATGTCAAACTTCAGCAAGATGTTATAAACCTGTATGAATTGTTTGTTATGAAGGAGCATGCCTCAATTTTCAACAAACTCTACCTATGAATTAAATGATTCATTTCTGAACAAATGATAACATCGAGAATCTGGGATTTTTTTTCAATTACCCTTTATATCCCACATATCCATACTGTCTATTGCACGCAATTTATACAACATCTTAGACTGTATGCTGCATAATTCAAGGAACTTTCAGTAAACTCTTCAGTTATAATCCGCTGGTTTTTTCTGTGTGTGTGTTGTATCGTTTAGATTGAATTTGCAAATTGGTGATCATCCCTATGAGGATATCTGGATGATTTCAAATATGGTGATACTACATAATAGAAGAGATAGATCAGAACTGGTGATGTTATTTAAATTTAAAAAAAAGTGATATTTCCAACACAACCTTTTTTGAATAATGAACTGTCTGTCAATAGATTAGAATGGACAGTAAACAAACAAATATTAGGATATTAATGTTAATGTATTCATGTGGTTTTGCATAGAAAAGTTTAGAAGAACTTATTCAGTGTCTTGATGGACAATATTCTTCATTTGTTCAAAAGTGTTGTTTTTTTTGTGTCTATAACTAGCAGTCTATCAGTATAATAACAAATTATTCTTGACAGAATTAAAATTTTTGACAAGCATTTTGACAATTTTTCACTTCGAGTTCCTCCAGTACTCCATTCTGAAGAACATAAAAACAGTAGGAATGATTTTTCGGTTTGAGAATCGTGGCAAAAAACGCAGCTAATGTAAATAACATTTATTTCTCAATTATTAAATATGTGAGCAAATCAATGAAAGTGTACAGATTTTTTTTATTTAGCTCCTACTAATATATTCTATATTGAAAATCTCCTAATTTGGGAGATAAGATGATAAAGAAGTTGAACTTCAATTAAGATATGATATGATTTGAAGATGTCTAGAAAAGAGGATATGATTCATTACCAAAAGTTGGGGAAAATATAGAAATTTATATAAAACTTGTGAATTTCACAATATCATGTATTTTTCTAATGTCCTCCTTGGAAAGGAAACACTTCAAAGTTAAGTTTATTATCATATAATTAAGTACTGACAAATATAAACACCAGAACATTACAATATTAATTTTTTATTTTTTATCAATACCCTTTTAATTAAATTATCAGNTAGGTATGGAACTAGACTACAAGTTCTCATTTAACAACCAAATAGATTCTATTTGCAAAAAACTAAATAAACTATATTATGCTTTCTATACACTCAAGTCAAATGTTCATAGACCTTACTTGATTAATTTATATTATGCACTGGTATATAGCACCATCAGCTGCAACATCATAGTATGGGGAAGGTCCACAGAAACATCCAGAGTCTTTGGAATACATAAAAAGTTCATCAGAATGATATATGATTTAGACTACAGAGAATCTTGTAGGAACACCTTCACAAATAACAATGTTTCAACATTCACATCTATTTATTTGTATAAATTACTGACGTATACCTTTTTAAATGAAGGAAAACTTAAAAAAACAGTGAGTACCACAGATACGATACGAGAAAGAAAAACGACTTTCACTTACATCCCATACTCAGATCACATCACATATTTATTCTACTTATTGCCTGAAAGCATGAAATCGGGAACAAAAATAAAAACTTTTAAACATACACTGAAAAAATTCTCAATCCAAGGAGCATTTTATACTTTAGACGATTTTATTCAAAAGTGTGGCTGATTCATTTTCATCTATGTAGTATGCATTATATGTACTGTTTTTAATATGTATCCATCCAATATGTTTTAACTTTTATGTGAAATTGACTATTATTAATGTGTTTGTACTTGTTGTTTGTTTTTCTTTTTTTTTTTGACATATCTCATGTAAGAACAACCTAAAGAGACAAATATATTATCTATCTATCTATCTATCTATCTATCTATGTCCTCACCTCTACTGCATTTTCTTTCAGAAAAAAAATCCCGTTAATTATGTCCGATTCACCAAACCATTCGAGGTCTCGGTCGAACTCAGGGCTCAACATTGTAACGCCCCATCACGTTACGGATCATACCATTCTAGACAGCGTTGCTGGATTCATTAACGAAGTAGTCCCGACGGCAAACACTGGACTCGTCGATACCAAAGATCAGATCCAATGGGCTAGCTTCGAACATTTCGACTCAAAAGGTATCTTTTTGGACAAGACTTACGAAACTGAGAAAGTTGGGTCTCCTGCTGTGATATTGGCTCTGGGGTACACTACAGGTGTACAGGTGAGTGTACTGAAATGGTATTGAATGTGGTTACAGTAAACTACACCCGCCGATTTAAAAAAAAAGTTATGTGTATTCAACGTATTTTCAAGTGTAGATTATAGATCCAAAAGAAAAATTCGGTGCTCTCTTTTATTTCCAGAGTTACAGCCCTCCGAAGTTTCGAGAATTGCAACTTTCAGCCTTCTTTTTACACAATACAAACCATAGAGAAACACAGTTTGCATTAAAATAGTACATTTGAGTAAATTTTATGATACTTTAATGTATGATATTCGAATGTAATTTTAATTCAAACTGTCCAAATAGAAACGATAAAGTCAGATCCAAATCCAACAAACAATGGGTCACTAATAAAGTGAATCATCTGTCTATCTGAAAAATTTAAACGTGCTTAAAAGATCTCACCTCTAAGCAGAAAATCTATATAAAGAGGCTAGTATAAAACATAGGTCACTTGTTAAAGATACAAGTCAATTTTATTCCAATAAAATAAATAACTCTACAAACAAAAACAAAGCTACATGGCAAGCTATAAATGAGGTAAATGGTGAAAAAAAATGATATTCAAATGAAAATAAAAGATGGTAATGATATTCTGGATAATCCATCAAAAAATCGTAAACAAATTTAATGACTTTTTAATAATAACGCCTCAAAATATCATAAACAACATATTTAATCCAGTTATTCCTGTATAATATCCTAAAAACCATTTTCAAACAAATAGCATGTTTATTACTCATGTAGATGAAAAAATGTTCCTAAAAATTATAAAAAACAAACTACTCAGTGGCTTTGATGCAATCTCTGGAACTGTCATTAAAGAAATAGGAAGGACCTCACACACTTGCCCCATTGGCTCATATTATAAACTCATCATTTGCAGAAGAAAAATTTCCATCTAGGCTGTAAACGTCTATAATTACTCCAATATTGAAGGAAGGAAGCCTGAAAATATCGAAAACTACAGACCACTATCAGTATCCTCTGTAATATCAAAAATAATTGGACAGCTTACGAACTTTTTAAATAAGTAATAAATAATTGATGAAAATCAACATGGTTTTTGCTCGAAACACTTCACAGTGACAGCTATAACATATTTCTATGAGGAGATTATTGAAGCCATTGAGGGTGGTGAGAGCCCTACTGGAATATTTTGCGATTTCAGCCGTGCTNCAGTTTATTACTAATTTTTTTTCAATAAAAAAACGTTGTTAATTGACGGAGCTGCTTTTTGCGTAATATCTGTAATGTCACTAGTATATAACCTTACAATGAAGGAATGTCACCAGAAAATGAATCCATTGTTGAATCAGGTTTTTTAAAGGAATGCTGAAAACTGCCAGAGAAGGTGAAATAAGGTGTGAAGGTGATGTGGTGAATAAATACTTGTGATTTTATAGATTCCATTGAGCAAAAAAATTAGGGAGAGCCCCAATTTTTTTTCGGATTTGTAATATACATGTCAAAATAAGTAAGTACACATTTTTTTAATTAGCTAAAGTAGCCTATTCGAAATTTCACTCAGGTAACTTTAATTTACTAGCATTTGATTGTTTGAAAATTTTTACTGAATGAATAGTTTGTATTTTTTAAGAGATTTCAATTGTCAGAAAATAAAAGGTCATTTTGTTAACTTTCCCATTGCACTTGGTCGTGTAGAATGAGAATCAAAATACACTTCATTGTTATAAAGGAAATAATTTGTGTTATCAAGTAAATAAATTATTAGTAAATAAAAACATTTTTAGCACCACTTTTCATTTACAAGCAACGTAAAGAAGAACAACTGAAATTAAATCAAATTCATCAATTTATTTCATTATACCTGCTTTGATTTGACACTGGAGTCTGTCGAAAGTCTCATAAATTGCTTTCGATGCAATAAGTATGATTCAGACCATCTAATGCATATATGCCCATATCGGTAATGTTTCTGCTTCCGCCACATGACTCCATAATCAACAAGATTAAATGCCTTGGAAAAATCACAGAATACGGCTGCTATTTAGGCACCAGAAATTATGTCACTATAAACCTTATAGAGTTTATATTCTTTATTTAAGGGCTTGTGAATAGAAGCTTGTACTTGAAATTGTTTTTTTCTACTATTAATTTGATACTCATATCATTGGGTGCATAAAAAACTATTCCGCGATCTCGGCCAGTCCGCCATATTGGATTCATAATGACATCATGTTCATATTCTTTTAACCAAATTCTTTCTTTTGATACCCATGTCACAGAAACCCATAAAAAACTAGCCCATCTTAAGTGTTCTGCTATATTGGATTTAGAGTGACAACATATTATTTTTCGTATTCTTTTCATCACACCCTTTCATTTGATACTCCTATCATGGGGGTGAATCTTTTTATTTGTGCTATATTTTGCTATATTCATCAAACCCTTTCGTTTGATAACCACATTATTGGGCTGCGTAAAAGTTCGCCATTTTGGTTAATTATCATTCAATATTCTTTTAATCTTTCTATCTTCTGAAGCACCTATTGCGCTTGGTGGATAGGTTTAATGTTTAATCAGTTGATGGATATTGACTGGAATATATCCCAGGCTAATTTTTACAAACTAATCTTGAACCAAATAATAAAAAGTTTTTGGTGAACTTTTACTTTATTGATTTTCCTTTGTGCCACTGTTATATATCTGGAGTTGTTGAACTTAGTGCAATTTTAAGACTTGTTACAAGAAATCCTATTAAACCCATCTATTTTTTCTTACAGGTGTGGGCTATACCCTCCAATGGTGAGGCAACTGAAATTTTAGGTTGGCGACATGGTTACGTAAGGCTGTTGAGATTTATAGTAACGCCATCTGTTAGTGATTTGAATAAGCGAGACGTTTTTGCCTCGAAGCGGCCCTTAGTAGCCATTTGTGAATGCATGACAACGGATTCTCCGTACAATTCACTCAATTTCATGTCTTTGAAGACTGGAGATCAGGTAACAATCTGAATGTAATCAAACATTAAAATAATATTGTTCATCATTTTCATTCAAAGTTCTTTATAAGTAACTGAAATAATTGTATTTATGTTGGAAATGATGGCCCCTTCCATCTTATATATTTTTTTTTCGTTCTCAGGTGAAAGCCATAAAATTTGGCAGCCCTATTTTGGATGTATTTTCCAACAGCAGGTCTGTTGTAGTGACTTTTCATGAAAAAGTTGCCGTGTTTGATGCCTTTACCTTAGAAGACCGACTCATCGTGACCAGCTGCTACATAAGCCCAGGGTTACAACCGAATCCAGTGGCGCTCGGAGCAAGGTGGTTGGCTTATGCGGAAAAGCGCTTGAATCCCTCCAAGAAGAGCAATGGAGGAAACGACGGAGAAGGGGTTCAGGTATGTGTGGTAGAAATTTTGTTGTGTGATCAATTCTCCAAAGCTGTAATGCTCTAATGTTTTTATTAATTGTTTCACTCATATTTAGCAAACAGACAACAGAGAGTCAGTATCACTAAAGACTCAAAAAACTTCAAATGTGATATTATAATAACATCTATAGGTATACCGCAAGGAAGTGTAGTGTATGAATGATTTATGCAAATCTGAATTAGCAGAGAATCAATTAATAACTATATATGCTGATGATACAAGCCTTCTGGTAGGGGGAGAAACATATCCGGAGATGATGGTAAACTGTTGTAACATTTTTCAGAAAACAAAAAAATGGTTGAAAACAAATAAATTAGTATTGAACGAGTCGAGAACTAAAGTGATGCTATTTGCAAACTATCTAACAGCAGAGGAAAAACCAAATGATATATAATTTTTCAATAATTCCTTTCAAAAACCAAGTTTTTGAGTGTTTACATTGATGAATGGCTAAACTGGTCACAACATATAGAGGAAATCTCTTTGAAACTTGGAAAAGTGTCCTATGGACTGAGAATAATCAGTAAACATCTAGAAAAGCAAGCAGCTTTATCTCTTCATTTTGTAAATTTTGAATCTGTCATTAGATACAGAATAATTTTTTGGGGATTCAACAAGAATACAAATAGAATATTTGTTATACAAAAAAGAGTAATGAGAATAATCAATTACAAACATTATAAGGACTCTTGTCGAATAGTTTTTAAGAATAATAACATCATGACTGTATATGCTCAGTATATTTTTGATTCTTTGATGTATTTGTTTAAAAATAGAGAACTTTTTAATCTAAATGCTACAGAACACGAATATAACACTAGGAGGCATGACCTCATTTATCCATATCATACATTGAGATTTACTGAAAAATCTTCCTATTATATGGCAATGAAATTTTACAAGTTACCAGTACTTGTTAGACATTCTGCTGGTAGCAATCATTTTAAAAAAAAGAAAACTCATAAAGATACTTGTTGGTCTAGAACCTTATTGTGTTGAGGATTTTTTAAAACATCAGTTTTGAAATATAATTGTGTGTGACGTCATTTCATTACATATTGTAATTATTTTTTATACAAATAATTGTGGCATTTTCTAAAATAAACATTA